ATATATACAGGGTGTCCCAGAACTGGCGTATCACCAGAAACCAGCGTATTCTCCGTGAAAGTTCTAAGACGTTCTAAGACGAAAAGTTCTTTACCAAAACGCGATCCGATGAATAGAATTTGAACGGTAAGTTATTGAAGTTCACAAATGGACGCGTGTGGAATTCGCGCGGTCACAACCGAGACTGGCGCGAGATACTTCAGACACTTGCTGGTGTCAACCATGTGTTTTTTATTACTCTGCTTTACATTTAATTTAATTAATTAGTCAAAAATGTTTAAAATACATGATGAATTTGTTATGATAGTTTAAAAATTGTTTAAAACATGTGCAAATTATTTAAACAATATTAACACTTTATAAAGATTTTTATTATTTTTAAATAATTTGCACATGTTTTAAATAATTTTTAAACTATTATAACAAATTCATCATGTATTTTAAACATTATTGACTAATTAATTAAATTAAATGCAAAGCAGAGTAATAAGAAATACGTTATGACACGAGCAAGTGTCTGAAGTGCCTCGCGCCAGTCTCGGACGTGCCTGACCGCGCGAATTCTACGCGCGCCCATTCGTGAACTTCAATAGCTTACCTTTCAAATTCTATTCATCGGATCGCGTTTTGGTAAAGAACTTTTCGTCTTAGAATTTCACGCTGGTATCTGGCGGTACGCCAGTTCTGGGACGCTCTGTATGTATATGTATATATATATATATATATATATGTTGTCTTAAAATAGTCTCAGTGCTTGCTACATTCATAAATTCGTTATATTATTGCACTTGTTTGCCCCTTACTATGATACATATTTTTAAGATTTCCAACATCAAGATTGAAGGACCTGCTGCACACAGTGGGCTAACCCACATTTTGTCAAAACAGAGAAATAAATTCTGAAGTTAAAGTGTGATGGGAAAGTAATATCCATTTCTATCAGTATCACATATTCTGCTACGTTGTGGTTTAGGCCCGTTCTACAATACGTCGTATATCGGGTCGTAAATCGTAAGGAGCTCTCTACAATAAGCCGTTAGTCACTACTCATATCATACTAACTAAGAATTGACCAATCGTAGTCGAATATTTTTCTTACATTCAACTGTGATTGGTCAATTCTTACGATTTACGATCTGACATACGACGTATTGTAGACAGCCCCTTAAGGTCCATCTACAATGAGAGCAGTAAGTCGTAAGCCGTAAGAAATTTACCAATCGATTATTCTTTTCATATTTGACTGTGATTGATGAATTTCTTACGGCTTACAATTTACTACTCTCATTGTAGATGGACCTTTACATTCGACTGTAACTGGTCAATTCTTATGGCTTACGACCTGACATACGACGTATTGTAGAACATGCCTTACGGCTTATGGCTTACAACCCGACATACAACGTATTGTAGTCAAGTGTACCTTAATCACTGTCGCAGCAGACCATTCAAATGACGTAAAATTAATCGGCTTACTGTAAAACTGCTTGAGCTATGAAGAGATCTATTTCGTTCATGTAACCACGTTGCTCGTGAAGTTCCACCAACATCGCGGCGCACCCGGAGCCATCTCTGCTATGTATAAAGTGTTGTCTTGCCATTATGTAATTCTTTTCTAATTGCAAAATAGATTCCATTATGCACGGCACACGTCCAAAACAAAATGTATGCAAAAAGTAAGAAAACTCCCTCTCGCGAATCACCTCTCCAAAAGACCTGGGCTATCTTCTGGTGCAAGTCCGGATGGCCGGTCTTGTAGTCTGTGCCCTTTACGCTCCACTTGAGCGCCGACTGCACGAACATCTCTCTCTCCGGGGACGTGGGGCTCATCAGGCTGAACAGGGTCGTGATCTTCTCGAAGAAGCCCTGCGCAGGTACCGTGCCGGATTGCGTCAGAACGTTGACAAACAGAATTCCTAAGTCGGCTCCACTTGCGTGCTGCAAGAAAACGCACAGGTCGCAAACATGCCGTTGTGAAAGCCAAGGTCTTGATCCACGTGCTTTCCTCTCGTCGGACCAGTCAGGTATCTTTCTGATTATTAATCACGACCATTTATTCGAAGACGCGCACGCGAACCTCGTAGAGATTCAGCCCCGTCGACAAATGTATGGAAGTGGATTTTTTTAAGGGAAACGTGAAGATCCCTCGGACATCAACACGGAGGGATGGGGGAGCGCGAACGACCGACTGCGTACCTGTTCGTGCTGCAACAGCAGCATCGACCCGCTGTAGAGCAGCTCCAGAAGCTCGGAGTACTTCCTCTGGCCGAGGTATCTGCAAAGGCGGAGGAGGTTAGAGACGGGCAGGATTCGCGGGCGGCGTGGCGGCCGCGCCTCAACGGGCGGCGCGGCACGGTCGGCCCGCGGCTCTCTCACCTGAAATACAAAGTACGGTACATCTGATGGGCCTCATAGTAGTTCTCCGAGTTAATCGAGGCCTCCAATTTCGCTAAAACTCGCTGGACACCGTGACTGTACCGCGAGGCCATGTTTACACTAATTTTGGGAACCTCGCGATCCGCGTAGGCGCGCGGTTGGCACCAGTGTTGCGTGCCGATTTTCCCCCGTTGCCTCTCCCGTATTAACGAGGCGCGCGCACGGCACTGCACGTGCGATTCAAATTTGAAATGTTCGCAGCCGCGCGTCGCTCGCCTCGAGGTCTGGCTGTTCGTCGCCGTGCGACCGCGAGAGATTAAACGTTGTTACGTGGCGTGCGCGCCGCGCGTTGAATTGATCGGGGAATCCCCAGCGCCGCGAGATCGGCGAGCCGGCGTTTGTCGCGCTAAAAATGGACAATCTTCGCCTCGCCGTGATCGCGTTTTAATCTCCATGCGCGATAGCCGCGCGTCGCGTGACCAACTATTTCAGGTGCTTTCGGTGTTTTATCGATTGGCTCCGTATCACGTAGCGTGCGCTCTGTATCGTTAAAGCTGTTCTCGAGAGTTGTTCGCAATGATGCGCTAAGTATATTTCGAACTGCGCGTTAATTAAACAACCCGATTATGACACGAGCTATATAAAGTAGTGTGGATGAAAATTATTCGAATTTGTACAACAAAGATCGACAAAAGTCTGATCAATTTAATTAGTCAGAGTTATATTAATCAATTTATTGAATTTATTATCGATTTAATTAATGATATCAAACCACAGATTTTAATAAAAAATATATCTGTGCATCAAATAAATTAAAATTATCAAACAATACTTGTGTTTTTTTTGTTATATAAGCAAATAATATAGGCATAAGTTAACTTTTTGTTGTTTAACACATAGAAAAAAAAATTAGATTAGAAGTTACGAAATTAATAAAATTATATTTTGATATAGTTAGAATTTTTACTGCAAGCAATTTTGTTAATCGCTGATTAAGGTAATGGATGATTAACTTCAAGTAGTGCCATTTTGTTAATGTGGACCCGGGAAAAAAAGTTCCACATATAATTATGTATAATTATATGCAAAATATGTCCATATATATGTTTCTTTCCTTTGTAAAATTATTCTTTTAATTATTTTTTATGTTTCCTTTTTATTATTATCAATTTTGTATTAAAGAATAATTTTACAAAGGAAAGAAATATATATATGGACATATAGTTATAGGATATAGTTTGCATATAATTATATATAATTATATGCGGAACTTCTTTTCCCGGGGCTAGAATTATTAATCTTTTTGTCGTTTGACATATAAAGAAGAAAAGGTATATATTCCGTAAGGAACAACGAATTATATTTCGCAATTATGTTGCAAGTAGTCTGTTGAGTTAATTAATAATTATCGATTAAGTTGATGGATAATCTTGTCAAATAATGTTAGTTTGTTAATATAAGTCGATTTATTAATCTTTTGTTTAATAGAAAAAAAAAGATTCTATATTTCTAAAGAATTTTGTATTTTCAAATTAACCGTAAGTAAAATCTTGTAGAGTTAATTACCGGTTAAATTAATGAATGATTAATTGTCCATATTATTATTTTATTAATCTTTTATTTTCATGTAGAGAAAAAAAGCATACATTATGAATAATTATGTAATTAGAATTATATGAAATTAAAATTTTGCAAGTAATTCGTTGAGTTAATCGTCGATTAAGTTAATTAACGTTTGGTCGAAATCGCCCTAAAACGATCATATAATACGTACAATAAAAGCTACGGAATTGTAAACTGATGATCCATCGTGAGAATTAATAAATATATACAATTATGCTCCTAAAAAAATACAATATAAATAAAAAATCTATACGCACGGGCGTGCACAATTAACGCACTAACGGCGTTAGTTATCATTAGTATAAGATTATATATAGTGTTGCGATACTCCAGAGGTCTCTCTGTAAAGTCATGATGATATCATTATGAAATCAAACATGATATCATAATAAGAACGTCATCGTGACTTTATTTGCCACTTACAAGAGACAAATAAAGACATTTACAGAATTCCTGAGATATTGCGTCATTCTGTGTTCAGATCAGAGGGAATTACACTTTGCTGGAAAATTAAGATACATTCCCAGCAAACGTAAATTAATTCAAATAAATTGAAAATTCAATATTTATTTCAATTTATTTTAATTTATCCGAATTGACGCTTTAGGGTGCGGAGGTTAGAGATGTAAAAAAAACGTTTTTTTTTCTATAGAAAAAAACATTTATAAAAAAATGTGTTTTATTTTATTAAAAAAAAATACAAATTTGGTTTTTTTTCTAATTCCGACTAATTAATTGCACGACTAATTAATTGCAAATAGTAATTATATAATTATATAGTTACATAATTAATTCTAATGTAATCTACATTTAATTTTTACAAAAAAAGAATCTTTTTAATTCTTTTTCTAAACAGCTTTTCCTTGAGTTGAATTTATTATAATTATTCATTGAAGTCCTTGCTTCAAAATATGTTTCAGAATTAATATATTGGCTTTCTCTCGTTCCGCGTAAAGGTTAAAATGATGATAATTTAAATATACTATCGATAAAATAGAAAATCATAAAAAATTAACTTATATTAAGCAAAATATGGATATTAAATAGATGGCTGATAAAAAACAAAATTTTGAGAAAAAAAACGAGGCTTATGTTTAAAAAAAAAAAAAAAAACGTATTTTATGAAAAAACCTATATTTGGTTTTTTTTCTATTTACATCTCTAGTAGAGGTGCATTTATGTCCCTATTATATTATTTTTGAATTCAAATAAATTGAAATACGACATGAACTATTCATCATGTTGAACTCAAATGTATCACATGTCTGTATTATATTATTTTCTAATTCAAAAAAATAAATTAAAATACAAAATGTGCGCCATGTTGAATTCGGATGCAGTATTTATGTCCGTATTATATTATTTTTGGACTCAAATGGATTAAAAGAATCAGAAGCGGTCAATTCGGAAATGTCTCATTTTTTTTTTGCTGGGTTAAGTATCGGAGGAAAAAAAGTTTCCCGGATAATCTCTATTTGAACAGCGGGATGAAGAGAAAAAGAGCGGATACGCTTCTCCCAAAGGGTTGAACGCACGACAGCGTTCTCTCGGTGGTTGTATCGCTCGACTTTTTGCGCCGATTTAACGCGAGAACGTTTTACTCGCGGCGCGCGGTTCAACGTCGCGCGCGATTTTCGGAGTCGTCGGCCGCGCGCTCGCCACGCCGCGCCGCGCCGCGCCGCGCCACGCCACGCCACGCCACGCGCCGCGCTTGTCTCTAATTCCACCGCGACCGCGCGCCGCGGCGTGCCGCGGGGCGGCGTAATATATCAATTGCAAAAAGTAATATTGATAAATGCGCAAAGTAGCGTCGCGTAAGCGCGCAGCCGGGCCGCCCGCGTATACACATACACACACGTGCGCGCGCGCATACGTCGCACGTGTATGTACGTGCATGTTTACACGTATTGGGCCGCCCGCGCGACGCACACACGCACGCACTCACACCCGTCATGAGCCGAAAAGCGCGTAGAGGCGCGGTGCGCCCCTGGCGGCGGACCGTGCAAGTGACCCTCGCGGAAATAATTATCGCGATTTATGTTATTTGCAAATGTGATCCGGGGGTCTAATTAATTAGGCGATGCCGCGCGGCGACGAGTGACGGCGACGAAGACGGGCTCCTGGGGCTACCCGGCTACAAGCCGCGAGCGGAGGAGCAGACGTGTGGTGCAGCGGCGGCCGCGGCACGGGGTGAGTGCACGGAGAGAGTGGTGATGTATGTACGGTTCTCCGGCGGCTTTCACTCACGGCGGCGGGGTCCCGCCGTGCGCGTGTCGGGAAAGGGGGGCGGTGGCTCTCGCCCGCTCTCGCGTCCGTCCGCTCGCTCGATCCGGGCAATCGCGCGGCGCCGGCCACTTTTTTTTTATCGGACCTCCGCCGGCGGCCCCGCGGCGCGGGGCCGATAACAATGGCCGAGACACGGGCCGCGGGCGCGCGCTCGGCGACCTCGGCGTCGCTCGGCGGCGACGCGCCGCCCGCGCGACGACCGACCGCGACGGTGCCGACGGCGGGACTCGCCCCCTCCGTCGTCACCGTTACGCGCGTTCGACAATCACCACGGACGCGGACGCGGACGACGACGACGACGACGATGAGGCCGACGAAGCGTGCGCGGCGGAGATCCGCGCGTTCCCGACCACGCTCGCCGACGTGCTCGACCGGCCGGAGCCCGACGGCGACGACGACTCTTCCTGGAGCCGCGGAGTCGCGCGCGACCACGGATGAATGAAATTCTCGCGAAACGTATCGATCGCTCGGCTACTGCATACTTGGCGTCTATTTGTGCGTCTTTTTGTTTTTTTGTATGTATATATATACACTCGGCGTATAAACAATAGGCCTGTTCTCTTCATATAGTTGAACTGGCTGCACTAGTTCAGAGTTCATCTTTCTTCTTCTAATGTAGAAAAGAAGGATAAACTGTGAACTAGTGCAGCCAGTTCAGCTGTAAGGAACAGGCCTAACAATGGGTGAATAATCCTTTTCTGTGCTCAATGTATCTGATTAAGAGTGTGTAACACTACGGTCGTGCAAATCCGGATAGATTTGTGCGCGGGGAGATTTTATTCGTAATTTCATGTTTACACGTTGAGGGATTCATGTGTACAATTATATACGTGCAGAATGGACTTGGCGGAAACTATGAAGAACATTGTTGCCAAAGGTATGCAAACCGAAATGGGTCCACCGGGTGGAGGTTCGGGCTACTCCGCGACACCGAGCAACGCTGGCTACGTTACGGAGAAGATGTACATGTTGTTACAAGCGTATTTGCAAAACAAAGGATGGAATCCCAGTATCGAGCTGCTGCAGTGCTTCTCGGAGTTCAAGGACGCCTCCATGATGCCGAGCGCCGCTTATTTGCAGTAAGGATAAACGTTTGCTTTACAAGTCATCAATGGAACTTTATTTGTGTCGCGCAAAATATCCACCGATTTTTGTCTGCAGGATGATGGCATCCAGAGTCGCCCTGGACTCGCAGGGTAGACTGGTCCTTAGGGAGAACGGCAAGATAATACTACCCTACGAACACTTCGCCAACGCCGTGATGCTGAAACACATGAACGGGCCGCACGGCTTGCACCTGGGCCTGGAGGGCACGGTCAGGGCGGTCATGGAGTCCTACACCATCGGCAGGGAGTGCTTCGGGATGGAGAAGGAGTTTATCATCGAAGTCGTGCAGAACTGTCCCAATCCAGCTTGTCGTTACTACAAGAATCAGCTGGAGCTCACGCAGAAGATGGGCCACATGGCGCCGACTTACATTCAAGAGAACGAGGCGACCGCGTCCCTTCTGCGCACCGGTTTTCCGCACAGCACAGATTTTCAGGTAGCGAGCCTTAAACTTCTTCTCTCGCTTGTTGCCAGCTATTAAGGTAAACTATACCAGTGATTGATTATATCTATATCAGAACATGTATACAAAAACTTATTTTTGAATGCCTTTTTTTTCATAATATAATTTAAGGATGTTTAATACGTACAATAGTAGCAAAAAGTTAAAGGACTGATTTTGACGAATATGCTCTTCTCATATAGTTTGAGTAATAAAGATTGTGCAGAATGTTATCATTTATTCAGAACTAGAGCGCAGAAATGCTTCTGTTGCTTTTTTCCTGAGAATTTTCGAATTCTATGGCCAAATATAACCAAAAAATTCAAATTAAAATCCTTATAACTTTGGATTGCTTCAGTGAATCGACTCTGGCTTTTGTCTTGAGTCTTTCATATATAAGAACATATATAAGAACAATCTGTAAAATTTTTGTTAAATTCTCATTATTTTAAAAATTCTATAGGTATAGAATACAAAAATTTTATACCTATAGAATTTTTAA